ACCCCGACCCCACGGCAGCTATATTCTTGGCCCCCCCTAGCTTCCTGGAGCCTCAGGCCATCAGTTGTCAGAGCCCCCCCCACCGCGCCCCCACCACGGCTGACACCGCTAGCTTCCTGAAACCTGTGGGCATCAGTCTTCAGGGCCACCCACCCTGCAAAATCTTCGCCGGGCCCCCCCCACCGCAACCCCACCACGCCTGACACCGCTAGTTTCCTGGAGCCTCTCGGCATTAGTCTTCCTGGCCACTCTTCTGGCCTAGCATCCCCACTCCGGGAGAGCTGTGTTCTTGAGACCCATCAGCCAACAAATTTCTCGCCCGAAACCTACCAACGCTCCCCTCCTGGCCTGGCATCCCCAGCGCGGGAAAACTCTGTTCTTGGGACCCCCCACCCCACAATTTCTCGCGCGAAACCTACCAACGCCCTCCTCCTGGCCTGGCATCCCCGCCCCGCGAGATCTCTGTTTTTGGGATCCCCCCCACCTCCTGGTCTGGCATCCCCACCCCAGGAAAGCTCTGTTCTTAGGGACCCCCCACCCCACAATTTCTCACCCGAAACCTACCAACGCCCCCCTCCTGGCCTGGTATCCCCACCCCGGGAGAGCTCTGTTCTTGGGACCCTTTCACTCGCAATTTCTCGCCCGACACCTACCAACGCCCCCCTCCTGGCCTGGCACCCCTATCTCGGGAGAGCTCTGTTCTTGGGACCCCCCACCCCACAATTTCTCGCCCGACACCTACCGACGCCCCCCTCCTGGCCTGGCATCGCCACCCCGGGAGACTCTGTTCTTGGGACCCCCCACCCCACAATCTCGCGCCCGACACCTACCAACGCCTCCCTTCTGGCCTGGCACCCCTATCTCGGGAGAGCTCTGTTCTTGGGACCCCCCCCCCGCAATTTCTCACCCGAAACTTACCGACGCCCTCCTCCTGGCCTGAAACCTACCGATACCCCCCACCTGGCCCCCCACCGCGCCCCGGCATCCCCAGGCCTCTAGAACTCTGTTTTTTGGACCCTGCACTCGACAATTTCTGGCCTCAAACCTACCGATACCCCCCACCTGGCCCCCCACCGCGCCCCAGCATCCCCAAGCCTCTGGAACTCTGTTCGTAGGACCCCGCACTCGCCAATTTCTAACCTGAAGCCTACCGATACCCCCCACCTGGCCCCCCAACGCGCCCCGGCATCCCCAAACCTCTGGAACTCTGTTCGTAGGACCCCACACTCGGCAATTTCTGGCTTGAAACTAACCAGCACCTCCCACCTGGCCCCCCGCCGCGCCCCGGCATCCCCAGGCCCCGCACTCGACAATTTCTGGCCAGAAACCTACCGATCCCCCCACCTGGCCCCCCCCCCGCGCCCCGGCATCCCCAGGTTCTGGAACTCTGTTCTTGGGACTCCGCACTCGACAATTTCTGGCCTGAAACCTACCGATACCCCCCGCCTGGCCCCCCACCGCGCCGCGGCATCCCCAGGCATCCGGAACTCTGTTCTTGGGAACCCGCACTCGAGCATTTCTGGCTCAAACTTACCGATTCCCTCCGCCTGGCCCCCCACCGCGCCCCGGCATCCCCAGGCCTCTGGAACTCTGTTCTTGGGACCCCGCACGCGACAACTTCTGGCCTGAAACCTACCGATGCCCCTCACCTGGCCCCCCACCGCGCCCCGGCATCCCCAGGCCTCTGGAACTCTGTTCGTAGGACTCCGCACTCGCCAATTTCTAACCTGAAGCCTACCGATACCCCCCACCTGGCCCCCCAACGCGCCCCGGCATCCCCAAACCTCTGGAACTCTGTTCGTAGGACCCCGCACTCGGCAATTTCTGGTTTGAAACCTACCGATACCCCCCACCTGGCCCCCCACTGCGCCCCGGCATCCCCAGGCCTCTGGAACTCTGTTCTTGGGACCCCGAGCTCGACAATTTCTAGCCTGAAACCGCACCCCCTCTTGGCCCCGGCACCGTGCCCCAGGAAACCTACCGACGCCCCCTCCTGGCCCCGGCACCCCCGCCCCTGGAGAGCTCAGTTCTCGGAGCCTTCCAGCCGACACTTCCTCGCCTGCAACCTACCGATGCCTCCCTCCTGGCCCCGGCACCTCCACCCCAGGAGAGCTCAATTCTTGGGATTCCCCGCGCGACAATGTCGCGCCTGCAACCTACCGATACCTCCCTCCTGGCCCGGCACCCCCATCTGGCCCCCCATCGCGCCCCAGCATCCCCAGGCCTCTGGAACTCTGTTCTCGGGACTCCGCACTCGCCAATTTCTAGCCTGAAACCTACCGATACCCCCCACCTGGCCCCCAAACGCGCTCCGGTACCCCCAGGCCTCTGTAACTCTGTTTTGAAGGGCCCCGCACACGACAATTTCTGACCTGAAGCCTACCAATACCCCCCACCTGTCCCCCCACTGCGCCCGGGCATCCCCAGGCCTCCCCAAAGGTCCTCATGATCTTAATTTAAGATCGGGTATGTAGGATCTTATTTTATGACCGTGCTGATTTGTATAAAAAGAACCTTACACAACATAGCTGAATTAACATAGTTTATGGTTCCAGGATCTTCGAAAGCACATCGACCCCCCATAGAAACTATACACAATTGCCATAGGTTGGCTTCCCCTCTCGGATTCGATGAGTTCAGGAGCAACGGGGCAGCGGGATTCATGTCGTTGCTTCTGAACTCATCGAATCCGTTGCCTCTCATCCTCGTCCTCGCGCAAGCTCCATCTGGTTCGAAGCGGATCTTCTGGGCAAAACTTCCGCACCGGCCCCGCGCTTCACGGACATCCGCGAGTTCATGGTGCGGGTGCCGATGGTGCGCGGGGCCCTTCTCTTAAGTTCTAAATTATGTCGCTGGGCGTGGCTGATGCGGGCTTTCGCGGTGCGGATTGTGTTTCCGTTGTTGCGGTGCGTTGGTGTTGTTGCTGTTGCTGTTTATGTTGCTGTTGCTGTTGTTGCTGTTGTTGGTGTCGTTGTTGTTGCTGCTGCTGTTGTCGTTGTTGTGGTAGTCGCCTTCGCCCGCGACCCAACCTGCGATCAACCGCATGACTCACTCAGCGACCCACCCGCATTGCTTTGACGAGAAACTGCGCCTGGGGCGGGCTTGTTGCACAGCTTGCAAAAATCGGCGCCTGCGGCTGGCTTCGTCTGAGCATCGCAGACTCCCTCCCGACGACCCCTGCCCCCCCTCACTCGTACCTGCAACTGCGGGGTGCCACGTAGCCTCTTAGTAGCATCCATGCCCTCTTCCTCCTCCAAGGCGCCGGCGCTGCAGGGCGTCCCCGAGACGCCCCACGAGTCCGACGAGGAGGAGGCGACGCAGGTCGATGGCGAACGAATGAGGAGGGAGACAATGATGAGGATCGAAAAAAAGATGGTGGGAATTGGAAGGAACTCGAGGAAGCGACATGCGATGGAAGGGAATAGCAGGATGACAAGGATGAGGAGGAGGAGGAGAAGGAAGGAAGCGCAGGAGGAGAACACGTCGAAGGGGCGACTGCGGAAGCACCGTTAGGAAATTGGATGCGCTTTGGATGCGGGTTGGGCGCGTCCAATTTGCGTCCAACCCGCACCCACTTTGCGAGTGGAAGCAATTGTGAGAGCGAGGGGGAACGCTGGCTTACGGCGAGGATGCGAAGGCGGCACGATACCATGCTGAAGGATGTGGAGGAAGATAACACCATCAGTCGTTACATCATGCTGTCTCATCCTCGCTGTGAGCTAGCGTTCCCCCGCACTCAACACATCGTCCACTCGCAAAGTGGATGCGGGTTGGACGCAAATTGGACGCGTCCAACCCGCGTCCAAAACGCATCCAACTTCCTAAAGGTGTTTCCTCAGTCTCGGTGATGGTGGTGATGGTGATGGCGATGGATATGTAATGGTGATGGTGACGGTGACGATGATGATGTCGGCTTCGCTGTCGTAGCAGCTAGGTTCGCCTCGGAGCACACCCCTCCGCCCAGGTGGAGACGAGCGCGGCCGCTGCCGACACCACGTCGGAGACGGCGAGCACGGTCGCCGCGGACAAGACCGAGCTGCAGGCGCACGCCGAGGCGCAGCAGCAGCAGCAGCAGCAGCAGGCCCAGACGCAGGCCCAGACGCAGGCCCAGACGCAGTCTCAGTCGGCGGCGGAGGCGGAGATGCAGGCGGCCTTTGACGCACAGGAGTGGGCGGAGACGGCGAGCATGCCCTCCGGCTACGTTGTCGTGAGCGGCGAGGGCTCGGCGGGCGCCGCGGTCGCCGACGAGGCAGCCGAGATCATCAGTTCGGACGAGGAGTGAGGGGACCAAACGAGACGCATTAGTCATGTGTCGGTTGGGCGACAGCCACTCGACGCAGCCCATGACTGCTGCACTCGATTGGTCCTCCGAGGAGCCGCTGGTGGCGCCGAAGCCGATGGTGCAGCTGCCTCCCAGCCAGGCGCCCGCGTCGCCGACGTCGCAGCCTCGTTCGGCCACCTGGCGCCCGCCGCAGCAGCAGATGGCGACGCCAGCCATCCACTCGCCACCGCCTGATTCGCCGCCGCCTGACAGGCATGACACGCTGGGATCCATCATTGCCAAGATTGACGACGACGCCACCCTGCCCTACAACAGCGAACCAGCGGCGGGGCAGCAACAGCAGCAGTTGCAGCAGCAGCAGCAGTACGACCAGCATCCAGGAACGCCAGCACCAGTCCAAGAGGATATGCAGCTGCACGCCAAGCGATCGGCATACGGCGGCACGGCAAGGGATGGCAAGAAGCTCAGGAGGTGGGCCAGGAGGGGTGGATCCGAAAGCGTGGATGCGGCCACCAGTCCCAGGGCCAGCCCGATGTCGGCGGCTCGGCGCATCCCCACGCCGCCGCGCGCGCCTGTGCGCGCGCCATCGCCAGTCATGCCGCGTGCAGAGCCAGCGCCAGTCGAGCATCGTCCAGGGCCAGCGCCAGCCGAGCAGCGTCAACAGGCAGCACCAGTCGGGCAACGAGCAGACGCTAGTGATGTGCTGTGCACGGGAGAGGACATGGTCGGCATCACCAAGGACTCGCTGGTGGAGAAGCTGAAGCGCGCCTACCAGACCCTCACGGCGTCCGACGAGACGGCGAACATCCAGGAGGTAGACGCCACGTTCGAGAAGTTCTACCATGGCGCGCTGATTGTGAAGCTGCGCGAGATGCGCCCCGAGAGCCGCGAGAAGAAGCTCGACGCCCAGCCCGAGGTCCAGGAGACGGCGTTCGAGCGTGAGAAGCGGATGATGTGGGAGTCCTTGCAGGCGGGCGGCTTCAAGTTCAGCACGCAGAAGAAGAAGGGCAATGCCACTGCTGCTCGGTGGGACCGCGTGATGCAGAACGATAATCAGTGGTCGGAGAAGCACATGAATGCGGAGGGCAACCCTGCGAAGAAGGAGATTCGCCAGGAGTGGGCGAAGTGGGAGTTCCACAAGTGGGAGAAGCGGCGGTCCTTCGAGAAGTCGGTTGGCAACACCAAGTCGCAGAAGATGAAAGGCGTCTACATGCCGTTGGCGAGGCTGGCATGGAAGCTTGGCGGAGGGCCTCAGGGCCAAAAGATGTCCTACGCGTACGCGGCGAAGGCGGTGGTCATGGGCGGCATCTGGACGAAGTGGTGCAACATGACGGACTGTCTCATGGTCCTCTTCGTGGAGCACGCCTTGGAGGACACCTGGACGCATGCGTGGGTGAGCTACGAGACATGGATGGAGGCGGGATCTGGCAGCGACGGTCGCGCAGGTGGCGGCGCTCGCGGCGCTGGTGGTGCAAGTGCAGCGGTGAACAAGCTCGGCGACGCGGTGTCCGAGACGCCCAAGCACGGAGAGCTGCAGGAGCCACCCATGAGCACCGAGAAAGCGACGAAGGCGGAGGAGAGCCGTGCAGGCAGCGGTGAGCCGAATAAAAAGATGGTCCAGAAAGCAACTGAATGGTTGCTGGAGTTCCGCAAGGTCAGGGCGCTGTACACGAAGAACATTTCGCAGGAGAGCAGGGGAGGGCCCCGCAGGGTGGAGGGCATGCCACAGGAGATGAAGACGATGCAGACTGTGATTAGATGGCGATGACGAAGATGGCGGTGCTACCGATGACTGCTGCACCGAAGGTTGGGATACCAGGAGGTTAAGGGTCTTGGGGATGACGCATTGACACATATAGAGGATCAAGTGACACGGCCAGGGGTAAGGGGGGACGCGGGATAATTAGATGGAGGCTACTAGGTGGATAGAGGACGATGAGGAATAGGAGGAGGAGGAGGAGAAGGAGGTGGAGGAGGAGGAGGAGGAGGAGGAGGAGTGGGATGAGAAGACGATGGGAAATCGTAGCGATGAGCAGTAGGTGAAGGGAGAGAGTAGCAGACGGTCGAACAACAAACAAACATTACACGCATGCAACTAGACTTCCTGAGGGAACGCGCACATCTTCCTCGCGTGAACCACACTCGTCTGTATCACACACCCTTGTCTTTCCCGCGTAAGATCGTTCGCACACCAACTGCACATGTGGAGATGCGCAGATGTGTGGCGTCGGATGTAGACAGCGAAACAGATGGGTTGGGAGGGAGACCGTTGGGACGGTGATTGTTTGTTTGGAAGGGGTAGCCAATCGGATGCGAGGTGGCCAGAAAAGGGGTATGCACGGAACTGGCACAGATGCTGGCGAGGGGAGGTGACTACGGTTGATTCGCTGATCGCTGCTGACAGGGAGTGGAAGTGGGCCAACGCAGAGGACATCAGGGGTGACCTGGACTTCAACCACGACTTGGTGCCAGGGGATGGGGGGTCGCATCACCTCTCAGTCAGGTGGGGTCACGTGGGCACATGCATAGTAGACTCCGCGTGGACCACTCGTGGTTGGATGTAACTTGGACGCAACCTGGGCGCGTCCAAGTCGCATCCAAATCCACCTGCGCGTGGTCTACGAATGCGTGCGTCTACCAAGCTCCACAAACGTGCGGATCTGCGAGGAGCCCCAAAGCCCCCGTCACACGATACAATCGTTTCCTCTCTGGGTGAACGGCTCGCGCCCACGGTGTAGTCCCGTGCATGTAGGGGGTGGGGGTGGCATGTGTTCTCGAGAGGGCAGCGATAAGGCCCTCGTCAGCTTCGATTGGTCGATACCCGTTGGAAGTGTCGCGCAGTTTACTGGTTTGCTCGGCGCAGTCGTTCTCATCGTCACCCTGCCCCCCCTCAGCATCACCTTTCATCGGGCCACCGCCCGCCTGCCCATCTCCCTTCCCCCACCTCACCCTCGCCATCCTTCGCCACCCCTTCCACATCCTGCCCCTGCTCGTCCAATGTCTTCTCCTCTCCTCACCCCTAAGCGCATCGCCCCCATCCCCATCCACGGTGATCCGTGCGTGCCACGCTCAGATCATCGCCGCCATCCGCAGCCTTTTTTCAGGCTGGTCAGAGGCGCCGTGCTGGGCGCCATGCCGGCCAAGCGCCTGCGATGCGAGGACACGACTCGTTTGCTTGAGGTGCTGACGAAACACTTCTCAGATGCCGACGAGTTCGCGTACGCTGACGACCTCGAGGCCGAGTGCGACACAGCAGCGATCACCGAGTGGCAGGAGCTGGTCCTCGAGGCGCGCCAGGCCATGTTCCCCCAGACCAGCATCTCCCAATCGACGGGGGCAGAGCTGTTCCAGCAAGTGCTGGAGCTAACGGCTCGGGCTGGAACCTCGCGGACCAGGAGACCAGCTGGGCGGAGAGAGTGTCCAGAATGTTTCGCTCGATGATGCGGCACGTGCAGCAGGGAGTGATCAAGAACAATCATCGCAGGACTTCGGCGAAGCTTGCTTCAATCCTAACGCATTGGCGCACGTGCTGGCGCGCGCGCAGTTCAGGGCGCGCGCCCCACGTGCGCAAATGTGTCAGGATCGAGGCGGGATTCCCCGAAGTAGGACACATGACTGTCCAGAGAGCGCCTCGTGGGTCATGCCGTTCGTCCAGCAGTGGAGGGACCTCGAGAATGCGGAGCCAACGAGCAATCAATAGGCATTACCTTAGATGGGCGATGGGGGGAAAGAGGATCAATGAGGGTGGGCCCTATGGGCCCAGGATGCCTCCCAATCCCTGGGGCCATGGAACCACCCTCACTGAACCGACTTTGTCATATCGCCCATGTGGTAGCCTGTTGAGGAGAAGTCGTACGAATACAAGATCGACCTGGTCAATAAGGACAGCGGGTGCAACCCGACTCGGATGGATTCGGCCTCTTGAGGCCGTCTACCGCCTGGACGCGAGCAAGTCCAACCCCGCTCCACAGTACAGCCTGCCGCTCGTGGATACAGGAGACGCTCCTGGCCACCATGAGGTCGTCGCAAAGTTCAAGGACGGCACGGAGCACGCGATCCCTGGGCTCACCTACGAGCGCATGCGTGGCTGGGCGGACAACAGCGACCTCAGGCAGAGGAAGGGGAGCGGCATCTTGTTGGAGATCGAGCGCAAGAACGACAAGCTGCAGCTCAGCAAGTGGTCCAGGAACAACACGATCATAAAGTACGGTGGGTGTGGCTCGATCGCCCGGAACGACACAGGACCATACTCCACCACCTCCTCAGAAGGGAAGCGAATGTCCTGCGGGGGGTGGGTCCAACTCACGGGGGGGACACCACGAAGCCAGAAACAGGGTGACTGTTCATGCTGGGTGGCTGCTTGTCCAGTCAAACTGCTAGATCTACCAAACTCACGTCCAAAATTCGGACTCCATGTCCAAATACGGTGGTAAAAAAAAGGTTTCCTGCAAGCATCAAAGCCGAGAGACAAGGTAACCACAGTCGGCCATCCTGACCCGTAGCCACTGACCCCTGATACGACCGCATTCAGAAAACTGAACTGCTCAAACTCACAATCCTTTTCTAACTTACGGCGCCCACGGCGAGCAACAAACATGTCCCCGCCCCTTGACTCCAAACCACCACATCAAAGTGCTCTGAAGCCGGGTGCGAAAGTTTAGCAGAGATATCGTCGATTAGCTCGTCAAGCACCTCTGTAAAATCAGCATCGCGGGCTTCAAAACCTTGATCACTACTAACCTGCAGGAGCCTGCACGTGTAATCACCAGCTGAAGTGTGACGCGTCCAAGCATAGGCATGAGTGGGGTCCAACCTGCATCAAACAACACCACGATCATGGCACTGACAGGTCCCGTGACTCTACCCCCTCTGGTTTTCGGCACGTGCAGCCTGGGACGGAGAAGCGACCAGGCGCGAACCACCCGAGGGTGCAGGGACAGAGTCGATCGCCACACCAACAGCAACTCGAAAACCATTTGCCGCCTCAATTCTAAAGCAGGCTCCTTGCGACCCATGTGAACGGCAGGAAGAGGATTGGGAGGCGGCGGTGGAGGAGGGGGAGGGTCGAAGAGACCTCGGGCTGCGGCGCGCCGTCTGCGTCGTCCCTCAGCAGCATCGCGACCTCCGGCGCGAGGATCCCCTCCAGGCCGCCTCCCGCCGAGGCGCTGCCAGGCGCCGCGCATCCTCCACCGCTGCCCGCAGGGCCGCCTCCCGGGCGAGCCAACTCTGCGCCCGCGCCTCCGCCGCCAGCGGCGGGGTCCGCCCTCCGGAACAGGGGCGGCAGCCAGCTCGTCGCCAGCGCCAGCAGAGAGCGCGCAGAGGACTGCCCTGTGGAACCCCGCCTCTGGGGGCTCCTGCAGACCCCCCATCACGCCCCCAATCCCGCTTCACGACCACCATCACCACCACCACGTCCTTCTCCACCCTCTCCTCCTCCTCCTCCTCCTCCTCCAACTCATCCTGCTCCTTCTTCGTGGCCCACTCCTCTGACCCCTCTCCCACATATATCTCTTCTCCTCTTCCTCGTTTTCCCCTGTCCCTTCCCCGTCTCCTCCTCCACACCCTCGCCTCCACCCCTGACCCTTCCATTCTTCCTCGGCACTCCCTCATCTGCCACCACCGTCCCCGGGTCACGTGTCTGGCATTGCGCTAGATGCTGTGTCGACACCCTTACACGGCCGCCCTTGCAAACAAGAAATTCAACGCCGTGGCCATGTCGCATGGACGGGGCTGCAACCAAGTTATCGTGGTGCGATTCGGACTCTGCGTTGTGCGCGTGGAGTCCGTCGACCAGGCGGCGCGCAAACCATGCTGAAACTCAGCGTCTCAGACGACGAAATGGGCAATACCTAATCCGTCTTGAGGTAATTCGAGGAGGTCCTGCTCGTTGCCGAACAATGCCTCAGCGTTGGGACGCAAGGCGACATGCGAAGAGGTGCGGCGCGCCTGAGTCGCCAGGGAGCTTGAGCTCTCGAGATGCTGGGTCAAAATTCGCATGTGCATGGCGCACCCGGATCCCGCATTTGTTCACGAGGTACTTGCCGTCCTCGGGAAGCTGATGAAGGCTCAAGACAATATGCGCAAGGTATACGCGAATTCACGGTACGGTGGACTTGGAGCCGAGCCCCCGGCCAAGATGTCATTGGAGGGTCTGCGCACCCAGGTCCATAAGATCCAGAGCAGCCAGTTGACTACCATCACGGGTGGGCAGCTGGTTGAGAAGGTGCGCCAGCTGAAGGATCGTTTGGACGAGACCCAGAATAACTGGAACGCAGGTTGCTTCACAACGACGGTGCGCAACTCAATGCCAGGAACGACATCTCGGGCTTGAATCAGCACGCACATGTGAAAGAGTTGTCCCGAGGGGAGATCAGGCCCTAATCCAAGGACCCTGGAGCCGTGCGAGTACCGCATTTCCCCCACGGAACTACAAACGTGTCGGCACTCCTCCCATCGGTCCAGAGACTAGCATCTCCTCATAGTCGTCCCACTTTTCTGGGTACACGTCACCGTCGGGTGTCAGCCACAAGCGCTTGTGCCACAGGCCCTTGGCCTGGTCGGACAAGACCCAGAAACTCTGCCACGCGATGGGCCTCACCGCCATCACTGATTGTTAGGGGGACCCGTGGTTCGTTGACCTTGGCGTAGCAGCGGTGTGTGTACAGGCTGCTTCGAGCGAAGACGAAGCAGCCAGCCCGCGACCGCCACACAACAGAGAACAGCAACGGCGACCGGTTGCAAGAACGAACT